GACTCCAACAGCAACTACCGCATCATGGAGCTCCTCATCTATGATATCAGCGTCAATGGCCCAATCCCTTCGGCCGTCGGCGACCTCCCCTACCTCGATTCCTTACAGTTCGGCTGGGTCAAGAACCTCACCGGCCCCATCCCCTACTCCCTCACCAAACTCCCCAGACTTAGATTTCTGCGTATCAACAACAGCCCTCTTTCCACTTCCATCCCTGACTTTCTCGGCCATATACAAAGCCTCAAGTACCTAGAGCTAGACCAGAACCAGCTCTACGGCCCCATCCCAGCTTCTCTTTCAAATCTGAGCAAACTACGAGATCTTGATCTCAGTCGGAATAAGCTAACTGGAAGCATACCCGTCTCATTTGGGAGCTTCACGAGCAACTTGTACAGGTTGGCCCTTTATGAAAACCAGCTATCAGGTGAGATTCCCAAATCGCTCGGCCGGTTACTGGATTGTGAGACATTCGAATTGTCTGGTAATAAACTGGTGGGGGACGCGTCCATGCTGTTCAAACAGAACGGAAAAGCGACGTTCATCGATTTGTCAAACAACCTCCTGGACTTCGATCTCTCCAAGGTGAGATTTCCGAAGAACTTGACGTATTTGGATTTGTCACGCAATAGGATMCGAGGTAGTATTCCGAAGCAGGCCACTAAAATGAAGTGGAAAAAGTTGAATTTGAGCTATAATCAGTTGTGTGGAAAGATTCCGCAGGGTGGACAGTTGCAGCTGTTCTCTGCTGCCTCGTTTGCCCATAATCAGTGTTTGTGTGGTCCGCCGCTGAGCAAATGCAAGTAATCGGACGTGCAGAGTCTATGAGTGCAACAGAAGTAGTATCCTTGGGTGGATCTTGAAGCGGAGATTTAGACAAAAATAAGGAAATAAGTTGCTTCCAACTTAGGACCTTGGTGTTTTTATGTTTCTTTCTGTGCATCTGTTCTGTGCTTTGTGTAGTATTTAACTGGGAAATCTTAGAATTAACTATAAGCACAGCAACAACTGTGGTTCTGGTGTATGCATTTGCATGGGAAAATGATTATGATATCTAGCTGTGCGGAGTTTTGGTTTAGAAAATCTGTTTGGTTTGGGACCTATGAGCTATAACTGTGTTTTAAAAGGCGTGATGTGAGAGGCGTTGGTGCAAGAGGTGTAATAAATAATCCTCTTTAGCTTTTTTCACGAGGCATGTTAGAGGCGTACGCAATAAAAAAAAAAGAAAAAAACAGAAGAAAGGGAAGGCAAAGTAAAAAAGAGAGAAGAAAAAAAAAAGAAAAGTAAATGAAAGGGAAGGGAAGGGAAGAAAAGAAAAGACTAATGTTATGCATCTTTATTCTTCTCGCCTCTTGCATTTTGAACCATGCCTCATGCCTTTTTATAGTGGAACATCTCGTGTCACAACTCCATTTTTTAAAACATTGAGCTATAGCATATGGTTATACCTTTTCTAGCATCATATAACATAGAATGATGAGCTAAATAACTATAAGAACTATATCTAATACCAAACCCATTGAAAATTACTTGTATGCCAGCCTTGTGAGAATATGAGAAGATTAGGTTATGACTTGTTTTTGGGAGAATGATTGTTCAACACATCCTAAGAATTCTTAGGCCTATCGTCTAGTTGGGTAGGTGCTAGATCGGAATTAATGCTAATACACGAGTAGGTATTGGTGTTTTAAGGTGGAGGTATTTGTAATTTCAAATTATTTAAGATTGCGATGAAATTCAAAATTCTGTAGTATGGTGTAGTGTATTTTTCTGCTTGTTTTTTCCATTATCGTTGTTTATGTGGCCAATCACTTTATTCTAGATTTTATGCCCTGTCCAGCGGATACCCTGCCTCTATCCATCCCAACGGATTTTTTTTACAAGGGTTTGAGACAGGATTTGAGAAAACCCAAAACTTTGGGGATCAAGGATGGGGCTAGGCAAATTCAGGGAGGGTTGAGATTACTTGCCCGACTAGGGTTTGAGGCAGGGATAAGGTAGATTTGAATTCATTCTCGATGAAGAGGCATGCACTGCTTTGCCTAATTGTCATTTCTACTTGGAAAAACTCGAGTTGGAAGGGAAATCTTTTCTTTCTGTATATCTCCCCATCAGCCGATTACAAGATTTATATATAGAGGTAGAGTTAAGTTAGTTCCCTCTTGCGATTAGGATACAAACTCCTAAACAAATAAGGAAAATCAAACCAAGAACAACAAGAACAACTATACAGCAGATAGGACTCATACAACAAGAGATAAGACTATGCTACTAAGAAGGCGTGGGCTTAATACTACTTATCCTTCCTTATTTGTATATTATTGGAAATCATATGAAATTATATACCAGGTGTTGAATGTAATAATATTTTGAATTTTTTTATGAAAAAATAATAGTTTTTGTATATTTTGTATGTTTAATTAATTAATTTGAAATCTTGACTTTTATTCATATCATTTTACTTATTTATTATTTATATATAATAAAAATAATAAAAATGATTTGCGGGGATCATGGGTCGAAAAGGACTTTACATTTTCTTGTGTAAAAATGATTTGAATTCTGAAAATCCAAAACCCGTTATAAATTTTGTAAAGAATAGGATAAAATACTTAAAACTCCCTTCACATTTCTCATAAATATTATAATATTCCCTCTTTTTTAAAAGGTATTCATTCCCCCTTTTTAGAATAAAACATTGTTATATCTGACAAAGTTAATAAAAAGACTCCTTTGCTACTCAATTCTGATTTTTGAAATGTTATTTCAATTCAATTGGAACACGGATCAGCGGAAGTTTGCTTGTATTTGAATCTCCGTACAAATGGTTTCTATTTTTTAAGAGAAAAATCTAAAAGCAAAAGATCTAAAAAGGGAACACGTGTAACAAATTATGGATGGAGCTTATCGCAGGCTGCAGCGACAAAACAAACAAACGCAAACCAACAAAGAAGGTCCGCATATGCTGCGAAAGGGCAGTGGATACGTTGACATCAGCAAATCATTACGAGTCGACATCTTATCCTGATTGTACGTTCCCGATGTTATCCCCRGTACAATTAGTTCAATTCCTCGTAAAATATCTCACCTCCTCACGCTCAGAGATAAAGACAATAGGCTCATTAAGAAACTGCATCAAGTTGAAGGACAAGTTTTGAAGAGGTCTGACTTATAGCATATTTGGATCTCCTCCGCACACAAACTCTGCCCCCGTTTATTGCAGCCTTTTCTGTGTAGTATTATCTAAGGTGAGATATTTTCAATTCATTCATGGGAGGTAGTGTATTGTTGAAAGATATGGGCAGAGTTCTGGAGATTCAGAGTCATTTATGAGATGCAAATCAGACAGCTGATTGGCTGGCATAAAGCTTTATCTGCTCTAACAGAATTTCTTAGTATATGTTTGACAGTAAATGCTTTATTAATTGTATTTGTATGTAACAAATTTCGGTTTTTGTGCATTTTTCACGTTTTAAGAAGTTTCATTGGCATTTTGAAATTTCCTGAAACGAATAGGCATTTTGTTGATGTGATGCCTAATTGTGCCTATATATCATTAAATATGTGTTTCTCGGTTTTACGGTCACACAAGTACAAAACATTTATCGAATAAATATAAGTGGAACCAAACACCCTGTTAATCTTAATTTAGCTTCTCTTCGTTTTCCTCTTTTTCTACTTGTGTTGCTAATATTTGATAACATGCTACCCCGTCTTGTATCCCTTTTGGTTTTATCAAACAAAAAATACATGCAGAATAATAGAAAATGTAAAATTTTACACTCTACAAATTTGCATTTGTACTTCCAAATTGAGCCTCATAGTAATCTTAACTCATCGGTTTTAAGTTGGTATGCTTTGACTTTACATTATACAGCTATTTAAGAATGCAAAAATTATTTAAAGATCGAATTATTTGGAACATTGCTCGGATCAATTTTATTCATGGCAATACTGTTAATTTCAATTCGAATTGTCATACACTTTCTGATTCTCAACAGATTCAGCAGCTTCCGGTTCACACAAAGGCTGTTTTACTCATTGGCCGAGGCACTATATCACACATCACTTAGATTTTTGGGAGAATGACGGTTCAGCGTAGGGTCGAAATTTTTAGGCCCAAAATACAATTGGGGTGGGTGTCAGTTCAAAATTGATGCTAATTTACGGGCGGGTATTAATATATAGAGTGGGGATTTTTGACATTTTCTGCAGTGAAATTCAGAAATCTGCATTGGGCTTGTCTGTACTTTTCGGTATATTTTTTGATACACTTATTTTTCTTCTTCTTTCCTCTGTCTAGATAGGGGTGTCAATTCAACCGCATTTGGTCCCATTGGATCTAGTTCAATATGAGTCCATTACAAATGGACCAAGTCTAATCCAATGCAATGAATATTTTGGATTAGTCCAGTTATTAGACCGTTCAATCTATTCAAAGTTTATTTTAATTTAGATTAATTCCATTCACACCTATATTCTTATCTTCTATCAATGGACCAGATATTAGCTCAATCCAACCCAATTCAATATAAATTCATTAAGGATGGAGCAGGTCCAATCCAATTCAATAAATACGTTGGACCATTAAATCTAGGCTGGTCCAATGCAATATTTTGTTGGTCTATCCAATCTGTCCAAATTGATTTTGGTTTAGACGGTGTCCAATCCAGAACCGGTGCATTGTCACCCCTATGTCTAGGTATAGGAGGCAAATCCACCAATATGAGAGGTGTGGAACAAGCGGAATTGGATGCTATTTTGTAGGGATTTCTTTTCTGTTTCTCAGATTATTAACTTGGGGGAATTCGGCTTGGGTCAGGGCAAAGCCCATTCAAGTATCCTTTACAGCCTTGCATCGAGAATATCTCTCTGCTTATATGCTTTATTTCATGGGAAGATTTTTCCGATGCAAGGCGGCTGGAACAGTGTAGGCACGGGCTTGCCCTGACGGAAAGTCGATCTCAACTCGGGGTATATTAGCATATTCTCAGACTCCCTTCAAGTGGCGAAAGCGCTTCATGATCAATCTTCTCTGTCTTGGTTCAGTCTTTATCTTTTTCTTAAAATTAAGAATCTTATGCCTTTGTTTAAATATTAATTTTATTTAGCCAGTAGCCAAATCTCATCCTAGTCAGTCGGGATTTTCTATTCTACCTGCCGTAAAATGTATGGCTGCAACGGGTAGAGAATGAATAGGAAATCAGGGCTCCCTAATCAGTTTTTATTTTATTTTTCTCTTTTCTCCTTACCTAATTATCCAAAATGGCTGCCCAATGTACAGAACTTAGTAAGTTTTCATCAGTTCCTAATACCCGTTTGTGGATACATCCGAAGCTATCTTTATCATGGTTGTCCTCCAACTCTAAATATGGATTTCATGACTGTGGGCATGCTAAAAGTGGGAATTTATGAGCTGGAAAGACTGTAGAGGGAGGATTTAATGCAGCAAAAGAGTACAAGGATAAGGACTTGGGATGAATAGAAGAAGGCCTCACAACCACCAATTCCCGAGACCGAATCTTACACTCACACCCTTCGAAACATTTCCCGTACTTATTAATCAATATTCACGAGAGATGTTTCCAATATTCGGTGGATGTGCGTGTGAAGCGCCCATTTGTGAGATCAGATCCCGTCACCCAATTCCCCCTCTGTTTTCTCTTATTAGATCTTTATGCCGAAATCAATTGGTACAAAAAGGTTGACATTTCAGGGATTTAGTTGTTCAAAAGGCTGTATACTCTGATATAATATGACAATAAATTATAAAAATCAATTGCCATTTTGCCCTTGTTTTTTTACAACAATACCTGCATTCCACATGCGCATATAAATACCCGTTTCACTCGTGTGGAAGATATTTCAGGGATTTAGTTGTTCAAAAGGCTGTATACTCTGATATAGTAAGATAACAAATTATAGAATTCAATTTCCATTTTGCCCTTGTTTTTGTACAACAATACCTGCATTCCACATGCGCATATAAATACCCGTTTCACTCGTGTGGAATGTGTTTCAATAACTTGTTAATAACAATAGTAATAATCTTCTATAG